TTTTTTTTTTTTTTCGGTTTGGTTTTTCAAGACAGGGTTTCTCTGTGTAGTCCTGGCTGTCCTGGAACTCACTCTGTAGACCAGGCTAGCCTCGAACTCTTGAACTCAGAAATCTGCCTGCCTCTGCCTCCCAAGTGCTGGGATTAAAGGCGTGCGCCACCACTGCCCAGCTTTTTTTTTTTTTTAGAGCTGTCTTCTGATCTCCACTGGTACATGTGTGCCTGCACATTAACACACAATAAAATAATTTAAGACATTTTTAGATTTGCATGTATGTTTTGTCTGATATATGTGTATCACATGCACACCTAGTGCCCAAGAAGGTCAGAGCTGGCACTGGACTCCCTGGAACTGGAGTTACTGATGGTTATGAACCATCACATGGGTGCTGGGAAACAGACTTGGGGCCTCTGGAACAGCAGCAGTTGCTCTTAACTGCTGGGCCATCTCTCCAGGCCCTAAAAACAAGATCTCTGGTCTCAATATTTTAAACAACTTTTCCAATCATCTTTATATTTAAGGTATACAATGATATGGTCTCAACAACACTCAACAGTGGGAGGAAACGGACTGTAACTGTAACTTCACTCAGAGGTAGGGCACATTGGGGGTAAAACCTAGCACCTCAGCAAACACTAGGCAATGTTTTCTACCACCAAGCTACATCCCCTGCTTTTTCTCTCTGAAGTCTGAATATTCCACAAACTAAGATATTCAAAGTATAGGCCTACTTCCTCAAGTACACTGGACTCAACTTGTCCAAGGGCAGATATGATACTTGTAAACCCTGAACTTTACTTTTGGATCAATGTTTGTCTTCAGGTCCTTGTTCTATTTAAAGCTTTACTTTTTGCTGGATACGGTGGAACACACCTATAATCCCAGCACTCAGAAGGCAGAGGCAGACAGATCTCTTATGAATTCCAGGCCACAGTGTGACCCTGTAACAAACAAAATCCTGCCTTTTGTCTTTAAGTAATCTAAACCCAGACTTGCTGCCCAACTATTCCGGTTCAATTGAGTTAAAACCCAATACCTTTTTTAAAAATTTTAGAATGGAGGCTTGAATTGGGGTAATGGCTTGGATGATAGTGCCTGCCACACCCCCAGTGCTGGGTACCTATGGAAACAGGTGGTTACCTGAAGGTGACTGGCTTGCAGTCTAAGTTGATGAGCTTCAGGTTAGTAAGACATCCTGTCTCAAAAAGTGAAGGTGAGGTGGAAATGCCCTCCACATTAACGTCTCAGCACCCATGCATGCTTCCACACACATGAATAAAGGGAGGTCTGAAGTTAGGCATGGTGATACCTGCATGTAATCTTAGCACTGGGGAGGCTGATGCAGAACGATCCTAAGTTTGAGGTAAACATGGGTTATATAGAGATAGTCTTCAAGAAGCCAAAATAAAATGGAAGACGCTTCTCCAAAAACAAGTTTTAACGTTATCACTTAAATAAAATGTAGTTCTGGCAATATTCTAGTTACTACTCAGCCCAGTGCTTGCTTACAGAGTACTCAGTAAACTATTCTTTTAAAAAAAAAAGTACTAGGTGGATTAAGTTTACTAATTTACAAATTAACATATGGAAATAGTATAATCTGTTGCTGGCATGTAATAAACCCAGAGAATCATTCAGCGAGCCCTTCCAGTGGTCACCTAACCTGGGCAAGCCCACACCAGAGCAATGAAACCCTCCACAATCAGAATTCCTAAGTGTTCTTCTATTCCGTTCCTAGCTGACAGGTAAAAATTCTAAAGCTTGGACTGCTCTCCCTTTCTGTCCTTTCTGTTAGCAGAAACCTCCATTTCTAGCCCACCATTTAAGATTTTATTTCCAACTTCATTAGCATGTCAGGGCTTTCATTTGAGGCAGGTACTGGCTGAGTACAGCCTCAGTTTCTAAGGAAACAGGCCCCACTTCCCAAGCCACCTGTGCACAGGCTGGTTTGTCTGCTCCGTTACTCTCTACCACGTTCAGTTTATTACAAACTGAAGGATGCTGACTAGGGGAGATGATGGCTTTGGACGGTGAACTAGCTTGACTGCTCTGAGCGGCAGAGGTCCTGAGGTTCAAAGTCTGCAAGCTTCAAATAATAAAGGCTACTTTGATTCAGGATGACAGGAGGAAGCAAAGATAAGCGGGGAGAATCTGGGGTTATGACAATGGTGAAAGGCGTGTGAGGGTGAGCAAAGAGCATCCATAAAGCCTTGGTTCGCGCCCAGAGGGAACACGCACGCCAGCATCTGCCTTCTGCCGGCCGCAGAGCCCCCAACCCCCGTGAGACACCCAAGATGGCGCCAGGCCCGCGCGGTTAGAGGTCATCGACACGAGGAAGGGGCAGCTCTCCGCGCGGGGATGCCGGCAACCGCGAGGGTGCGGGGACCCAGGTGGGAGCTAGCAAGGTCAGGGCGGCCACGCGTCCTCACAAGGGGTATTGCTGCGCGCGCCTGCGCGGCACGAAGAGGACGCGAGGCCTCAAGGCCTTACCTGCTCCCAGGGTAGAGAAGACAGAGAGGGGCGGGGGCGCGGGAAGCGCGGGAGAAGGCTCTGCGCGTGCGCGATCAGAGTCAACGAGTCGCTCCCCCGTGGAAAGAGAGACCACAAGTTAGAGGATCGGCCCCGGCGCCACAGCTCCCCCTGCCAGGTTGGTGGTGTCTTGAGGGGACAAGCACTCCACCTGGCGTCCAACAGGAGAAACTGCAAAAGGAGCCTACCGTGCGCGGAAGAGCCGCCAACTCTGCACAGAAGATGGATCCGCAACGTGGTGGGGAAGTGTGGACTGCACAACATTTGGAGTCATGGACTCGAGGCCCCTTTCCGAGCATGCGCAAAGGAGGGGGAAAAAACACACCAAAACTCCAGCCTACTCGGAAATTGCTTATAACATACAGTAGGGATTGGGGTTCAGTGCCTAAAATGTAGCAGGGTGAAATAAAATCACAGAACTCTTGGCTTCCTGTCGCCCTCAGGACCCTGGCAACATTGGGTGGGAGATGAGAACTGGTCCAATGCTATCAGCAAAATGCCGCGGCTGTTTCTGGTTTAACTTATTATTTTTTTTCCCCCATCTCGCTGATGAGCAAAGCATGAAAAAAAAATTGAGAGTCAGAAGACTGGGGGTAAACAAGGCCTGAATCTCCCTTTTGTGAATCCTGGGATCAATTAGAATAACAGCACCTGTGGCCTGCACTACAGAAGGGGTTCGAGGTCACCTCAGGCGACCAGTTTACCTCTTGTCAGGCTTGCTGGGGAGGCGAGCTGGAATAAGCAGTCTCACGCAAGGTGCTCTCCCCAAGCCCCTACTTTTCTTCAATGCCCTTTCGCCCGTCCCTCCCCAGGTGGCGGTGGGCGGGGGCTTTCCAGCAAGAGTGCAGGAGCAGGCCTTTGTGTGCATGCAGGACCAGACGAGCCTAGAAGCCGGCTGCAAGGCCGACCCAGCCCCGAAGCCCGGCTGTCCGGTTAGGGTGCTTGGACACAGCGCGAGAAAGACGGGAAGAGCTCACCAAACCCCCATAAAAAAATAAAAAATAAAAAGAAAGCCGCGGCTGTAAATAAAGGCAAATCCGCCACCCTCTGAGGGGCCGTTTGTCGTCCCCTCCTTGGCCCCGTCCTTCCCGCCACCCCCTCCCGGCCCCGCGGCGCCCCGGCCCCGAGCTCCTCCATTTAATCGGATTTGGGAGAAGGGGAGGATAAATCACGGCAGCAGCTTTACGGTCCCGGAGGAGAGGCGAGCCGCAGCCAGGCACACCCCGGCCGGCGATAAAAACCGCCGCTGAAAGCCCACGGAGCAATTTCCCGGGACCCCGAGCGACGCCATTACAGGAATGTAATTTTGCCCGGATGAGGCCCCGAGTTTAATTATCCTCGCGGAGGAATTTCAATGCGGCCAATCCATCTTGCAGGCGGGCGGCAGAGGGATTTATATGGGCCCGTTATTTCACACCGATCCTCCATCTGCATTTTTATAGCCCTGAGCTCCTGAAAGGGAGGGAAAGTGTGGGGAGAAATGGAAGAAGAGGGTGGGGGGACTCCCCGCCTTTCCTAAACCTTGGGTTTCAGATGGATTAGGATTCTCACAGGTTCTCCTGAGGTCCCCAAATCTCCCTCCAGTGCCAGTGGTTGACCCGGGCACGGGCGGGTCCGGGATCTGTAAGAAGCAACAGGTATTTTCCAAAGTACTTAGCGGTGTGAAATGCTGTGTGAGAAAAGGCAAATCCGCCACTCTCTGAGGGGCCCAGGCTAGCAAGGGCTTAGGAGTTGATCTCTTGAGGTTCCCCGAACACCCCTCCCCGCCAAAAAAAAAAAAAGAATTCTTTTTAGCTCTCAGATTCATAGCCTAGGAGGCACAATCTATAGTTCTTAAGAGCCGCCACCGCCAAATGGTGTTGCAGCTGTTGGTTGCGACAATTTAGAGAATCTCGTATATCGCTAACGAAATCCCGGAGGAGGATGAACCAGAAAGGGCCTGGTGAGCAGCTAACCCTGGCTTCTCTTAAAAGTTACTGCAGAGTCTGATAATTCCCTACCTCCGAGTGGTAGGATTCAGATTAGGCAAACCTGGGTTCCCAAATCACGTGTGACCTTGGGCACGTTATTTAACCCTTTTAAATCATTTTTCCCCCCTCTCCTTTTAAAAGTGAGTATAATAACAGCGCTTATCCCGCAGCCTATATTGAGATAATAATGTACATGAGGCTTTTAGCAAAGGGCTTGGTACTCAGTAAAAGTTCAATAATCTCCATAATCATTATCGTTAGTATTATAGTTAGGATCATTGCAATTCAATTCTGTCATGCTCCCGCGAGACTGTTTATTGTAAGGGTCCTTGCACAGTTATCTCCCGAAAGAGATTCAAATATTACAAAACTTTTTCAATCACATAAATCATACAAAACCAGTTAGTTGACATATTAATGGGTAATCTGTGAAGCTGAAAATCCTGAGGGCCCCTGCAACAAGGTTTGAAGCAGGAAATTAGATAAGAGAGCAGGGACGTGCCAAAAAGTGGATTGAGGCGTGTGAGGGAGGAGTCTAGAGATCTTCTTAACCCTGGGCTTGGGAAGTGTCCTTCTCTCAACAGCTAGGGAACCTGCGGTCCAGGAAGGAAAGGGTGTGGACCGAAAACCATCTCTTCCAATCAGTCCCGGTCTCTTCCCGACCAGGCCATGTAACAAGGTTGGCCTGATTGGCCAGTTTTCCTAATGACTTCTAGTGGCAGATTCTAACTGGTTAGCAGCCTCCCTGCAGAAGAGTGACGGAGAAATGAGATTGATCTTTCCTTTCCTCGGATTGGTTAACAACCCTCAGGGGAACAGAGACCCCTTTTAATTGACCGGTAGGTTAGGAGGAGGTTTGGCATCCCACATATCGAAATTCCATGAGTTCTTTTCCTCAAAGGTCACCAAGAAAGACTCTTGATTGTCTTGAATATATTTGCCTTTGGCCGGGAGACAGAGTAGTTAAGAGAAGAAAAATCAAAACCGCACAGGCACAGCTTAGCTCTGTTTAATATGAAACCTCAGACAGAAGGATTCACAGGAAGAAACATAAAATGGACAGAACGAAGGTATAAAAGGTGTTGTCAAGTGATGAGATGGAGGAAAGTAAAATTTTGATCAAAGGATACAAAGTTTCAGTTTGAAGAAATACGTTTTAGTAACATCTTTTACTTGGCAGTTAACCACATTTAATGTGTTGGATATTTCAAGGCTGCTGAAATAAATTTTAAGGTTTTCTCTCACATATACAATGAATTGACTGGATAAAGTGTATGTTAATCAGCTACATAGAATCTTTCTATAATGAATATGTAGATCGAAACATCACATTATGCCCATAAATATACGCCTTTTTTTTTTTTTTTTTGCCAGAGTCTCTCTACTCAGCCCTGGCACTCACTATGCTAAATCAGACTGCCCTCAAACTCGCACCTGTCTCTGCCTTCTGACTGCTGGAATTAAAGACCCGTGTGCCACCACACACTGCTCAATAAACACAATTATTATTTGTCAGTTAAAAATATTTCCAGAGAGCCGGGTGTGATGTGCCTTTAATCCCAGTACTTGGGAGGCAAAGCTCTGTGATTTTGAGGCTAGCCTGATCTACATAGTAAGTTCTAGGACAGCCAAGACTAAATAGAGAGTCCCTGTCTCAAAAAAACAAAACAAAACAAAATATGTATATAATCAGAGGGAAGTGTAAAGGGCTGCATAGTTTATTTCTTATTCTGATGATTTAAAAGTAAGCTACCTAATTTTGCTAGAGGCAGTGAGCACAGGAGAAACTCAGGAGCCCAATTCCAGCTTTACTACTAATTAGCTGAGTGACTACTGGGTTACTCCATCTCTCAACACTCTATTTTCCCAGCTTGAAAGAATTTACAGAGGTCTGGAGAGATGGCTCAATGGTTAAGAGCACTGACTGCTCTTCCAGGAGATCCTGAGTTCAATTCCCAGCACCCACATGGTGGCTTACAACCATCTGTAATGGGATCAGATGCCATCTTCTGGTGTGTCTAAAGACAGCTACAGAACTCATTCATATACATAAAATAAATAAATAAATCTTAGCTGGGCGGTGGTGGTGCACTCCTTTAATCCCAGCACTTGGGAGGCAGAGGCAGGCGGATTTCTGAGTTCAAGGCCAGCCTGGTCTACAGAGTGAGTTCCAGGACAGCCAGGACTACACAGAGAAACCTTGTCTCGAAAAACCAAAAAATAAAAAAGAATAAATAAATAAATAAATAAATCTTAAAAAAAAAGAAAAAATTTACAGAAGGGAGAACCTATCCAGTGCTAATTTTCCAAAAGTCTCCCTTTTACAAATTTAATGTCTTTGTACTTCAGCGATGATTTTTTTTCTTGGTCTTGAACTCCTTTCTTACTTGCTTTGGTGCGGGGGGTTTGAACCCAGGGCCTCCAGAAGACTGAGCTGTATATCCTACCAGTGAGATACACCCCAAGCCCATTTGTGATAGTTAATGTCAACCTCCTGGTCAGACTTCTGGGACTGAGATGGATGCTGACCTCTGACTAATGGCTTTCCTCTTGGCTTGTTAAATCAGTTTTCCAGGTAGTGGGACACAAGATACTAGTGAACCTCTTTACCCTTACACAGAGAAAACAATACAAGAAAGGACCATTGATACTTCAGCTTCTGGGGAGGTAGGCAGGGGAGGAGGGCATCGGTGGGGTGCCTAATGACACATATTAGGTCCTCAAAAGTATTTACACAGCAAAGAGTTGAGGATAAGAGGCAGAGAGGAGGATTTTTAATTTGGAGCCACCCTGGGCTGCATAGGAAGAACAAATCACCAAAAAACAGGGGGAGGGGCGGGATTTTTTTTTCTGAGACAGCTTTTCTCAAAGTCACATAATGAATTAGTAATATCCTCAAATTTGCCTTTGCCTGTAATCCCAACAAGAAGTCTGGCCTAAATTCACTATGTAGACAAGGCTAGCCTTGAACTCACAGAGATCTGCTTGCATCTGCCTCCTGAGTGCTTGTTTGTTGAGACAGGGTTTTGCTAGTTGGCCTGGAACTATT